GTAATAAACTAAAAAACAGAAACTTAACATTCAACAACACGATGATATTCACAATGTGATGCTAATGAACCAGAAATAAAAAGGGTGTGACTTCACAATAAAAGCACTAATTGTGACGTGCAATTGTTTGTCTTTTACATCCTTGTAAGGCAGATGCTTAAGAGGTTTATGGAGCTTTTTATGAACGATTTATATACTGTTTCAAAGCAAATGAACACCCTGGAAACAGGAGTTTAACGTTGTTGCTGTGTGTGTTTGGGGATGTAAAGAAGTGAAGTGTTTTCCATGTTTCTGTGGGAGGGAGGAGAGAAATAAGTGTGTGAGGTCTGGGAAACATCACACTCCTTACTCTGCGTTTTACAAGCTTCTCACAGGAAGGTCGGCCTGAAAGTTAATCTGTTGGCGTGTATCGCTGTTGTCGGACACGTATCTGCAGAATATTTTAGAGAGGAATGCTTTTTCTTACAGCTTTCGAGGGTCCAGAGGTCATGGAACTCACTCGGCACATAATGACTTTGTGAAATTCAGCTCAGGAGAAAAAACGGGAAAAATGCAAACCTCCGTGATTACTGCAAACTCAGTTTTGAGCTCCTTCCCTACCTGAACACACACACACACACACACACACACACACACACACACACACACACACACACACACACACACACACCACACACACACACACACACACACACACACACACACACACACACACACACACACACAGTTCAAGGGCAGAAAAACCCCCAAAACACGACTCAACAACGCAAGTACAAAATCTTTAAAGAGGCCCCTTTCTACTTTTTGGAGTTGTCCCTTTCCTGTAGTGTGTTCTATAGGTTTTAGTGCATGTAAATGGTCTGCAAAGGCTAAAATCCCTGTGTTCCCTACAGAGGGAGTTTCTCTCCCACACACTCCCCCATTCCTGCCTGAAACGCAGAGTAATCTAACATAAAACAATAAAGGTATTTTGTAGTAGATTTCTCAATTAACTACCAAAATAATAACAGCATTTGTCAAGCGGAGAAAAGATGATCTCAAATATATTTTTCTATGTAGAGAGAACATTTTGTAACATCACTTACAGAGACACAAGCATGATTTAACCGAGGTAGCAAATATACTTTCTGGATCATTTACCCCTGGGATCAGTGTTGTCCACAGAAACATCTGAGCCACTTTAGTTCCCCGTGGCAGAGGAGCAACGTACAGCCGGGGTAGAGTGACGCGGCAATTATCTAATCCACTTTGTTGACGCCTTAAACCCTGCGAGACTGAAATAAGCTCTGGAATAAAAGCCACACTCCACGTCTGAATCCAAACTCTGCTTTTATGACACTCATCCCAGCGGCTGCGGCCCGGCACACTTTGATTGTTGCTGCATTGTTTGTTTGATGTTTTTACCAGCTGGGTGTGTGCAGCCATGTTCAGTGGTTCCTCACCTCAGAGAGGCAAGAACCAGAGGGACACACTCATACACACTCATACACACTCATACACACTCATACACACTCATACACACTCATACACACTCATACACACTCATACATACACAACACCAGAGATGGCAAAAGTACACACATCCTTTACTCAAGTAGAAGTACAGATACTCATGTTTAAAAATACTCTGGTGAAAGTAGAAGTACTGACTAAACTTCTTTACTCAAGTCAAAGTAAAGAGGGCTTTGAAATGTACTTCAGTAAAAAGTACCCATAACTAGCAGCTGTTTTAAAGAGTACCTGACCTCCCTTTATATTAATAGAACAATAATGTCATTGTTAGCTAATGAATGTTTCCATGCTGAACAACGGCAACATGACAACGTTTTCATTGGTCCCTCTTCTTTAGAGAAGACCAGGAAATGATGGATACACGGATCGTGTTCAAATCAATAGGCACGCAATGACTCTAAATAATAATGATCACGCCACCAAACACACATTCAAACTAAAGGAACCAGCCGGTTTGGGAAATGTGAGAAGTAGAAAGTACAGGTATTTGTGTTCAACATGTGAGAAGTAGAAAGTACAGGTATTTGGGTTCAACATGTAAGAAGTAGAAAGTACAGGTATTTGGGTTCAAAATGTAAGAAGTAGAAAGTACAGGTATTTGGGTTCAACATGTGAGAAGTAGAAAGTACAGGTATTTGTGTTCAACATGTAAGAAGTAGAAAGTACAGGTATTTGTGTTCAACATGTAAGAAGTAGAAAGTACAGGTATTTGTGTTCAACATGTAAGAGGTAGAAAGTACAGGTATTTGGGTTTAAAATGTAAGAAGTAGAAAGTACAGGTATTTGGGTTTTAAAATGTAAGAAGTCAAAGTAAAAAGTCGTCAGAAAAATAAGTAGTGGAGTAAAGTACTGATACCTGAACAATTTACTTAAGTACAGTAACGAAGTATTTGTACTCCACTACTTCCCACCTCTGGACAAAACACAAACCAGTAAGAGATGGTGAAGCTGTGGAATAAAGGATGGTGAGAAATGACAGATTACTCAGCCCGTGTTACTTAATATTTTTAAGAAACACGTTTTTTTTAGGGAGATCTTCCTACAGTATGTGCATAACAATTGTATTTCAAAGCAATATGACTAATTGTTCCCAATCGATACGCATTATTTAACATCAGTGATAGTACTCCGCATTTACAGGTACAGATATTAACATCAAGGCATAAGAAGTGTCACAATTACCCTTTACTTACATCTTCAGCGGAGAAGGAAGACGACCCATCGACGAACTCTGAGGGAAGAAAGATTCTGTTCAAAGTTCATTTATATCAAGAGCTTTCAAATCTGGAAGGAAACAATGGCGTCTATTAAATATCAGCAGATGATTTGTTGTGTAAATGGAAAGTATTCAAGAATCATTCAGGGGTTCATTACTGCAGAGGAAATACAGAGAGATGATCAAAAATGGCAATAAAGCACACATTGAAGGCTTAACTTTTATTACTAAACATTTCCTAAACAAGATGTGTTTCTTTATCGCACGCCTTTCTCTTCGGCTGCACATTAATGACGTGCTAAACATGTCATTTTGAACATGCTATAAAAGCAGCTAATACAAAACCGACTACAAACATTCAAGGTATCCTAAAAAAACATTCACATGTAGTTCCTTGTGTCCGTCTCTGTAACATCACAGACTTTCTATATGACCTTCTTGGCAAGGACGGTTGTCACGTTGATATATTTGATTGTGCTAAAAATCACAATATGTATCATTTTCAAACGCTAAAAAAGAAATAAGCAGCCGGTTAGAAGCTTCCCAGTAAACAGACGTCTGCCGTTGAAATCAAAAGGCTTCAAGTCTGGCAGAAATACAGGTCAAAGCTCCCAAATGATGACAATGTGTGAATGTCCAAAGCCTTAAGATTCCTGCAATGAAAAAGAAAAAACCCTTAAAGCTTGTAATTTAATATCTCCAGCATCAACAGTCTGAGGACGAACGTGATCATTTGTCTCTTTGTGTCCAGTTTTAACAAACAGCCGTGACTTCATCCTGGAAGGAAAACTCCTCGTCGCTCTGTGTGTCTTATATCACGAGAAGGGTCCACACAGATTTCCATTCATAACTTTTTTTGCTGTCCTATGATCGATTTGTTCTACAGACACTTTGCTGTAAATCTGATCACACATGAAGCCTGTAAGACACTTCTTAACCTGCACAGCACATCTATCTACTGCTATCAAACCATGCAGATCCTTTTGATTTCATTATTGCAGGTTTTGAGAGATCTGTCTCTCAGATTTCTGCATCCATTTCAACAGCGAAACCTGACCTCAGAGGAAACTTGCCTGTCAACTTAAAAGTATGTAGTGTCTCTACTTTAAAGAGTCCTCTCCTGGTGTCTCTACTTTAAAGAGTCCTCTCCTGCTGATGTTCAGGTGTATATCAGTATGTGGTGTCTCTACTTTAAAGAGTCCTCTCCTGGTGTCTCTACTTTAAAGAGTCCTCTCCTGCTGATGTTCAGGTGTATATCAGTATGTAGTGTCTCTACTTTAAAGAGTCCTCTCCTGCTCATGTTCAGGTGTATATCAGTATGTAGTGTCTCTACTTTAAAGAGTCCTCTCCTGCTGATGTTCAGGTGTATATCAGTATGTAGTGTCTCTACTTTAAAGAGTCCTCTCCTGCTGATGTTCAGGTGTATATCAGTATGTAATGTCTCTACTTTAAAGAGTCCTCTCCTACTGATGTTCAGGTGTATATCAGTATGTAGTGTCTCTACTTTAAAGAGTCCTCTCCTGCTGATGTTCAGGTGTACATCAGTATGTAGTGTCTCTACTTTAAAGAGTCCTCTCCTGCTGATGTTCAGGTGTATATCAGTATGTAGTGTCTCTACTTTAAAGAGTCCTCTCCTGCTCATGTTCAGGTGTATATCAGTATGTAGTGTCTCTACTTTAAAGAGTCCTCTCCTGCTGATGTTCAGGTGTATATCAGTATGTAGTGTCTCTACTTTAAAGAGTCCTCTCCTGCTGATGTTTAGGTGTATATCAGTATGTAGTGTCTCTACTTTAAAGAGTCCTCTCCTGCTGATGTTCAGGTGTATATCAGTATGTAGTGTCTCTACTTTAAAGAGTCCTCTCCTGCTCATGTTCAGGTGTATATCAGTATGTAGTTGTCTCTACTTTAAAGAGTCCTCTCCTGCTGATGTTCAGGTGTATATCAGTATGTAGTGTCTCTACTTTAAAGAGTCCTCTCCTGCTGATGTTCAGGTGTATATCAGTATGTAGTGTCTCTACTTTAAAGAGTCCTCTCCTGCTGATGTTCAGGTGTATATCAGTATGTAGTGTCTCTATTTTAAAGAGTCCTCTCCTGCTGATGTTCAGGTGTATATCAGTATGTAATGTCTCTACTTTAAAGAGTCCTCTCCTACTGATGTTCAGGTGTATATCAGTATGTAGTGTCTCTACTTTAAAGAGTCCTCTCCTGCTGATGTTCAGGTGTACATCAGTATGTAGTGTCTCTACTTTAAAGAGTCCTCTCCTGCTGATGTTCAGGTTTATATCAGTATGTAGTGTCTCTACTTTAAAGAGTCCTCTCCTGCTGATGTTCAGGTGTATATCAGTATGTAGTGTCTCTACTTTAAAGAGTCCTCTCCTGCTGATGTTCAGGTGTACATCAGTATGTAGTGTCTCTACTTTAAAGAGTCCTCTCCTGCTGATGTTCAGGTGTATATCAGTATGTAGTGTCTCTACTTTAAAGAGTCCTCTCCTGCTGATGTTCAGGTGTATATCAGTATGTAGTGTCTCTACTTTAAAGAGTCCTCTCCTGCTGATGTTCAGGTGTATATCAGTATTTAGTGTCTCTACTTTAAAGAGTCTGAAACCAGAGCCCAGTCTGCTCTGATTGGTTAGCTGGCCGGCTCTGTTGTGTCAACCGCTTAGAGATGTCCCGCCCCTTAGCCTATCACGTACGATCTAGTCAATCTGATGCCATAATTGATATTCAAACAGCAGCTATCTATCTGCACGGCTAGAAACCTCTACAAGAAAATAAGCTATGCTTTTAATTTGAACAAACAGATCTTTTAACATCAATTGGTTCCTTTATTCTAAAGCAAACAACTTATTTGTATTTGCTGCTGAAAGACTGTTCTTCCACTGCCTTTAGTAGCAACCATCTCTTAGAACCAATCAAACGGAGCAAAGAAAATGCCTCGGAGTGTCTTTATTATCCAGCCTCTCCTTCGTGGTGTTCTTGGAGATGAGCAGTAAGCATCCTCAGGTGTTAAACCGGCTCTTGTCTGTATTTCTTTCTCCAGAAAACCCCATGCTGGTGTCCACAGGGGCAGAAACAGGTTCGATTCCCGTGTCCTCGAGTGTCCCAGATAAAAAAAAAACTCCAGAGGTCAGAGGGGGTGGTGGTGGCTGAAGGATGTGGCCTTGAGACATTTTATTCTTAGCAGCGAGGCGGGGGAGGTTTGGGGCTCGACTGGGATTAGGGAGGCGAAGAAAAACTGTGGGTTGGGGCTAGACGAAGACGAAGGAGGAGGAAGAAGGAGAGAGTCAGCGAAATGTCTGAGGAGAGGAGGAGGAAGATTTATAGACTTCATCCTCCCCCGCAGCGTAAACACACCAAGAGTAGAGCATGTGGAAGAGAGAGACACAGGACACGTGTGTGTGTGTGTGTGTGTGTGTGTGTGTGTGTGTGTGTGTGTGTGTGTGTGTGTGTGTGTGTGTGTGTGTGGTGAGTGTGTTCCTGTGTGGTGAATGTGTGTGTGTGTGCGCGTGTGTGTGTATGTGTGTGTGTGTGTGTGTGTGTGTGTGTGTGTATGCGTGTGTGTATGCGTGTGTGTGTGTGTGTGTGTGTGTGTGTGTGTGTGTGATGTGTGTGTGTGTGTGTGTGTGTGTGTGTGTGTGTGTATGTGTGTGTGTGTGTGTGTGTGTGTGTGTGTGTGTGTGTGTGTGTGTGTGTGTGTGTGTGTGTGTGTGTGGATCGGCTTTTGAGTGGTGCAGGAATGAGTCCCAAAACCTAGAAATGAGATAGTATTTCTGTTTCCCTCGTCTGTAAGTCAATGGTTTTTTTAATGTGTTTTTGGTTAGAAGCTGAAGAGATTTGTGCTAAGCTAAAGGCTATTGGTTAGCGTCATGATGTTTAAGACTGTAATTTGGACACTTGTTTTCAACCTTTTTATTCACCAATGAGGTTTTAACTGGCGTATTTCATGGCATGAAACAAACGTGAACATGTCTTCAACTTGTGTTAACCCCAGACCTTATTTCAGACTTCTTACCAAAAACACCTTCAACAAACCATTGACATTCCAGACAAACCTGAAATGCTAAAATGCTAACTCATTTCCCGGTTTTACGAGTCATTCCTGCTTTACTGTATTTCTTGAAAATGTACATATGTGTCTGGGAAGAAATCGCTCTGCTCCTGACATACAATATGTGGCCTTAGTGTATTTACATGAGGATATATACTAAGACTGCATATGTGAATGCGTGTGTGTCCTTGTGTACGTTAACATGGACTCTGTATAAATAGATGTGTGTGTGTGTGCGTGTGGGTGTGTGTGTGTGTGTGTGTGTGTGTGTGTGTGTGTGTGTGTGTGTGTGTGTGTGTGTGTGTGTGTGTGTGTGTGTGTGCACGTGCATATCATGTGATCTTATTGCTCGGCTCCTGTCAAACATCTCCAGCCTCGGGCTCCTTCTTCTTCTCTTTCACTTTTACCGACGACTTCCTGGGCACTTTCTTGTCCCCTGTCTCCTTGCTGGCCTCCTTTCCTTCCTTGTCTCTGTCCTTCTCATTCTTCTCCTTTGAAGACGACGATGACTCCTTCTTCTCCTTGGAGGAGGACGTTTCTTTCTTTGTCTCCTTCTTCGCCTCCTCTTTGCTTGAATCCTTCTTCGGCTCCTTCTTCTCCTTGGATGACTCCTTCTTCTCCTTTTTCGCCTCCTTGACGGGTTCCTCTGCACTTCCCCTTTCTTCTTTCACGGTGGGCTCTGACGACTCCCTGGATATCTCCTTCTTCTCTTTAGAGTCTTTATCTGAATGAGAGAAGAGAAATAATATATTGTTAATACACACACCTCTACATACGACTAAATATCTAAAGGGAGAAGGAAAGCGGTGACGATTTGTCAAGATGAAGTGAAACTTGGGGAAAACTATTACAACACATAATGCCTGCTTTGTTTTTTTCCTATTTCTATATGTAATTAAAGCTATCTTCCAGATCCAGGGCATATCATGAATAAAGAGACAGTTTAAAGTCCCAGCTAATCTATCCAATATTACTATGTGTGTGTCAGTGGCGAGCCGTGAGCTTTATACCTAGGCCCTCTGACCTCCACCCCTTCCCTAAAAAAAAAGAAAAAAAAATAGTTATTACGTCACAGCGTATACTTCAGCGGAATATCAAAACAACGGCCCAGGGTGCAAAACGCATCAATGACAGCGACCCTCTACCACACAAAACAACACCTGTGAACCCAATTTGTGTTCTTTGACATTGAAAATGTACTTTCGTTGCAGTTGTATGTCTTAAGTGTAATTTGGCATGCTTTTATTTTGAAGGCGAGTTCACGCTGTTGACAGGAAGTTGTTGTTGCTATGGAAACAAGAAAAGTTTCACAGCGGGCGGAACTTGTCATAAAGTCCGCGATAATAAAACCCACCCATTTAGAGGGAAGATATGATTGGTCAATTGTACTGTCATTTGACATTACTCTCTCGTTCAGTTACTATAGCGGGCCCTCTGTGAATCGCAGAGAGGGCCAGACCTTCTTTCATGTAACCCTTCACATTCAAACAGAGACCGAACAGGCAGATTCGAAGGATTCATTTCTTTGGAAATGTTATTTTATTAAATCAAGTTTTTTTTAGGTAAAACCAATGAAAAATATAACAAAAATAATATAAAAAAAATATATATTTTTAAAAATATATTTTTTTTTAATGTTTTTAAATATTATTTTTTGGAATATCTTAGGCCCTCACAGAGGGCCTAGAGGGCCCTGACGGCTCGCCACTGGTGTGTGTTAAAATTGAGAAAAAACTCAAGATTTGATCGCATGTGTACTGGGATGTCTAATCTCTTCTTTTTAATCGGAAAATATACAAAATCATCATAAATACAGGTGCATAAAACCCGCTGTAGAAATGAGGGCTTAAAGAGAACAGGAAGTTTGTGTGAGGTGCTGTTTACACGAGAACGCAAACGGTTGTATCCGCTACTTTTCTCTTTCGTATAGCCCGTTCGTTCACACGAGTTACATGTTGCTAAATCCACCGCGGAGAATAGACAGAAGGGCAACCAGGCAACCATGCTCGGGGGGGTCTTCTTCGCTGCTTTTGGTGTATTTTGTGGCGGAACTACAGCGCCACTTACAGGCCCGGGATGTGTACTACAGCATCTCCAGCGGGTCGAGCGGTCTCATGTGAAGGGACACGTTTATTGAGCCATATCCGTGTGAATTTGGTTCGTTTGCGTTTCATTTGCGTTCCCGTGTAAATGGGGCCCGAGCTGAAGCATCATACTGCGTTTTCAGAGGAAAATCAAATACTACAAGTACTCAAATACTTCTACAACTGACGCAACAAATGTTTCATTGTAGGTGAGAAATACGCAGAAAAAAGTACATAGAAAGTGTACTACTATACTATACTTTAAGTCCTTTTTTAAGTACAAAAATATACATTTAGTTTGATTCTCCATCTACGCTAAGCATGTGTTGATCTCACCCAAAACATATTTTTACCAAAATGATCTCCAGAGAGAATAGATCTGATCTTGAGGTTTGGGTTTTTAAGTTTGTTCTGTGAACTTCTGACAAGAACTGGTGTCATAATTGTCTTTGTTGTTTTAAATGCCCACCTTAAGAGGACAACGGCTGACGTTTGCCTGTATTAATGTTGATTTTGAACAGTAAAATAGTCCTTTAATGAGCACTATAGTAGGTCAGAGGGCATACAGTCAAGTTTCCTTAGGCCTGATTATGGTATTCAAGTCGTTTTGGATAAAAGCATCAGCAACATTTTTAGATTACAAGCATTTATTGTCATGATACAAGTACAACGAGAAGACTAAATGACATGTAATGTAAATCATCACAGGGATGGCGTAGTGACTCCATATTCATGATCTGAGATCCCATTAGTATGTTCTACTCGTTCTGTTGTGTCCCAAAGACACAGCGCACTAACCCAGGTTGTGTGAAAGTGTAAATGAGCCTCAGATGGGTCGTCACCATCAGCTGATGCAAACACACGAGCCCTCTGAGCCTTTAGCATCGGGACAAATTGAGCGACAACAGCACCTGTTGCATGACAAAGGACCCCCACTTAACTAAAGGGGCCCCCCACCCACACTCACAGACCCCTGTCAAACACACACACACTGCAGCCCCGCCTCCTTCAGATTGGACGGGCTCTGATAAGATGATAACGGGACCGTTGTCTGCCAACAATGAGACGCACTTCTTATCTCCATGAGAACGAGAGACTGGAGTATCTTAACGTGTGTGTGTGTGTGTGTGTGTGTGTGTGTGTGTGTGTGTGTGTGTGTGTGTGTGTGTGTGTGTGTGTGGACTGTACTTCAAGAACATTCTCCAAAAGTGTTTGCATGTGTCTATGTGTGTGAATGCATCTGTCTTTACATGTACGTGGAGACCCTGTGCTATATAAAAGTGTGTGTGTGTGTGTTTTGTGTGTGTGTTTGTTTGTTTGTGTGTGTGTGTGTGTGTGTACAGACTCCAAAGAGGATTTCTAATCAGACAGCTCATCGTCTAGGGCTTACAGAGAGAGAAAGGCAGACTTAAATTGAGTGTGTTTGTGTGTGTGTGTGTGTGTGTGTGTGTGTGTGTGTGTGTGTGTGTGTGTGTGTGTGTGTGTGTGTGTGTGTGTGTGTGTGTGTGTGTGTGTGTGTGTGTGTGTGTGTGTGTGTGTGTGTGTGTGTGTGTGTGTGTGCTAAATACGACAGGCATATTTGTTTTTAAACATTATGTTTAGACATGTTTGTCTCTGCTGATCGAGAGTTTTGAAAGCAACCGAACTCAGACCTGGAATTTATTTTGCATCCAAGATGAAGCCATGCCACTAAAACAAAAACATCTAGAATGGGGAAACTATTAAAGTAGTTTATCATTCATAAATGCTGCTATAAGTGTATCTGTCCTTATTGAAGAAGTAAAGACAAAACCCATATACAGGCTTAGAGAGAAATGGATAACATAACATCATCAGAACTCACAGTTACATAAAACATACATGATCAGATTACTGTTAACATTCTAAAATGGTGGATTACTAGCAGGTGTTAGTAAAAACCTAAAAAGATCATAGGGTTTGTTTTAAAGGTTCAGATGTTATTTCTTCTGTCAGCTGTTCTGTTCTGTAGGATAATACTTTAACCTCTTAAGCACGGCGGCCCCCCCATTGGACCCCTCCCACCGTTTTCGAGATAATGTCTCAGGGCTTCTTAACATTTATGAAACTATTAATGTGTAGCACCAGATTAACGGGAAGAATCTCAGCTAACTGAAGATATGAACCATTTTTACCAAAACAAAACACAAGTCTCATAAGAAGCGTCTAAATGACCCCTGAGCAAAAAAATTCTAACGCACTGCGGCGCACAATTCAAGATAAAGATACCCTTATTACTTATCGTAGCTGCACATACAATATAGCCGATTAAAGCTGAGACTCCACTGATTATTTAGGTATAGTATCATCACTGAGCGATCCGAACTTGCGACAGGGGGGCAGATCGTCTCACCGTAGCTGTCAATTAGGTCAAAAGACGTGTTCAATGGCATTAAAACGAAGAAAAAAAAATGCTCCAACTGTTGATCCATAGGTTGATAATGTACCTGTGCCTTTGAAGAAATTATTTATAATCCATAATTCCATTTTTTATGTAAAAATCGGAGCGGAAAAGTTAGCTGCTAATGGTAGCCACCAGAGTGTATGCAGCTTCCGGTTTTGGTAACGCGTCACTCTCACGACTTATTTGTTAACGTGTTGGTGTGTATATAACGTTCCCTCGATTCCATTAGCTCTAGCGGTTATAAAGAGATTTCATTCATCAAAATCGAGCAAGGGGGGCCAGAGATAGGTCAAATCCACCCAAATGACCCCAGAAGTGGTGGTTTTTGGCTAAATCTCTCTAAAAAGGTCAAATTTCACTTGTTTTGCATCAATCTTGATACAGGGTACTTATTATATGTTGTACTTTGGATTCCTAGAGCTTTTAGTCTACTAACCCATCATCCAAGGGTGGTTTTCACTATAAGTACAAAATAATATTTGGACGGACACTATAATTTACAGTTTTTTACTATGTAAAATCTGAATTTTCTTTAAAATAAAAAACATCTATATTGATTCTGACTTTTCTAAATCCAACTCACAGGTTTATCATTACTTTGAGAATAAAGATTATTAATTTAACCCTTTTAGAAGGGAAGATATGGTCATTTGTTCTGGGAATGTCATTTTCGAGCCTGAGACCTGAAAAACAGGCTCAGGGCTTAACAGGTTAAATGTGAATCTGTACGCCTTCTGCCTGAATCTGCTTTATGAGATCTTTATTCATTTGTATTTGTTTACACGTGGCCCTAATCATCTTCTTAAAAAAATTATCAGAATCCAGATTTTGTATTCTTTTGAATTTTTTGTCAAAATTCTCACCTTTTTCATAAAATTCTAACCTCTTTTTACAAATTTCGTTTTCTTTTCTCAAATTCTCACTTGTTTAAAAATTCAGACTTTTTTACAAATTTCGTTTTTCCTTCTCAAATGTCGTTGTTTTTTCATAAATTCCAGACTTTTAAAGGGCCCATGTCATGGCCATTTCCACTGATCATAATTACATTGTTGAGGTATACTAAAATAGATTTATACTGTGCAATTTTCCAAACTCACATTGGTTTCGCATACAGCATCTCTGTCAAGCATGTGTATTCAGCAGTATTCACTTTCTCCACTAAACGACTCGTTGGAGCTCTTGCCCCCCCCTCCCTGTGAGCCTAGTGTGCTCCGATTG